AAGGCATGTAAGTTCAAGAAGCACAGAGAACTCAAAGTAATAAGAACCCAAAGAGGCCCACACCAAGACACATAATAATTAAAATGCCAAAAATTAAAGACAAAGAGAGAATCCTAGAAGTAGCAAGAGATAAGCAACAGGTTACCTACAAAGAAACCCTCGTAAGGCTATCAGCTGACTTCTCAAAAGAAACACTACAGGCCAGAAGGAAATGGCATGAGGTAATCAAGGTCATGAAAAACAAGGATCTGAATCCAAGACTAGTCTATCCAGCAAGACTGTCATTCAAAATAGAAGGTCAAATAAAGGGCTTCTCAGATAAAAAAAAAAAAAAAAAAAAAAAAGACTAAGGAAATACATTAGCACCAAAGCAGCACTCTAAGAAATGTTAAAAGGACTGCTTTAATAATAAGAAGAAATATAGATCAATGGAACAGAACAGAGAATGCGGGAATTGACCCAAGACTATATACTCAATTAATATTTGACAAAGGTGGCAAGAGCACAGAGTAATATTAAAGACAGTCTCTTTAATAAATGGTGTTGGGAAAACTGGACAGCTATATACAAAATAAATGAGGCTAGACCACCAACTTACATCATACACAAGAATAAACTCAAAATGAATAAAAGATTTAAATGTGACACGTGAATCCATAAAAATCCTAGAAAAAAATGTAGGCAACAAAATTTCAGACATCACACACAGCAGAATTTTCACTGATACAATGACTAAGGATAAAGAAACAAAAGAAAAAAATTAATACATGGGACTACATTAAACTCAAAAGCTTCTGCACAGCAAAAGATACAAGCATCAAAATGGAAAGGAAACCCACTATGTGGGAGAGCATAATTGCCAAGGATATATCAGATAAGGGGTAAATTTCCAAAATATGCAGAGACTCCTACAACTCAACAAAAAGAAGACAAAGAACCCAGTGAGAAAATGGGCAAAGGAGCTAAATAGACATCTCTCCAAACAGGACATACAAATGGCCAAAAGACATATGAAAAAATGCTCAATGTCACTAATCATCAGTGAGATGCAAATTAAAACAACTATGAGGTATCACCTCACACCTGTCAGAATGGCCACCATCAACACATCATCAAAACAACAAGTGTTGGCGAGGGTGTGGAGAAAAGGGGACTCTAGTACACTGCTGGTGGGAATGCAGACTGGTGCAGCCACTATGGAAAACAATATGTAGTTTTCCCCCAAAATTAAAAATTGAATTACCCTTTGACCTAGTGATCCCACTTCTAGGAATATACCCTAAGAAGCCTGAAACACCAATCATAAAGGATATATGAACCCCCATGTTCATAGCAACACTATTTACAACTGCTAATATCTAGAAATAATCCAATTGTCCATCAATAGATGAGTTATGAAAGAAAGACCTCTGCCCTGGCCAGTTTGACTCAGCGGTTAGAGTGTCAGCCTGTGGACCAGAGAGTCCGGAGTTCGGTTTCTGCTAAGGGCACATACCTGGGTTGCAGTTTGTCCCCAGCCCAGGTTGGGGTTGTGTGGGTGGCAGCCAGTCAATGTGTCTCTCTCACATCGATGTTTCTCTCTCTCTTCCCCCCCTGTGTCCCTCCTGCTCTATCTGAAGATAAATGCAAAAATGTCCTCGGGTGAGGATAAAAAAAAAAAAGAAAGACCTCTTACCCTTTGAGATGACATGGAGGGCCCTGGAGAATAGTATCCTAAGTGAAACAGGCTAACCAGAGAAAGACAAATATCACATGATCTCACTTATTTGTGGAATATAATGAACAAAACAAGCTGATGAACAAAATAGACCCAGAGCCCTGGCCGGTTTGGCTCAGCGGTTAGAGCGTCGGCCTGCGGTCCGGAGAGACCCGGGTTCGGTTCCCGCTAAGGGCACGTACCTCGGTTGCAGTTTGTCCCCGGCCCTGGTCGGTTGTGCGGGTGGCAGCCACACGATGTGTTCCTTTCACATCGATGTTTTTCTCTCTCTCTCTGTTCCTCTCTCTCCCTCCCACTCTACCTGAACAAAAAATGGAAAAATGTCCTCGGGTGAGGATAAAAAAAACAAAAACAAAAAACAAAATAGACCCAGAGACATAGAAGTAGGGTACAGACTGAAGAATCTCAGAAGAGGGGGATGGGAGGGAGGGAAGAGATAAATCACAGAACTTATATGCATGTATGCATAACCAATGGACATAGACACCAATGCAAGGGAGGGATAGGAAGGAGGGTGTCAATGGGGGGTGGGGGAAACATCTGTAACAAAAATAAATTAATTTTAAAAAATCAATAAACAGAACAGAAATATACTCATAGATACAGAGAACAAGTTGATGGTTGCCAAAGAGGAGGGGGCTGGGGTATGGAAAATAGAAAAAATTAATAATAAATTCAGGAGGGTGTTTCTCTAGTTGCCTGTCGCTTTTACTGAGACTTTACAAACTACTTTGCCTGTTACACTTACAAACTCTTTCTTGAAGAGCCTGCATTCCATGCAGTAAAACATTTAAGGCAGAAAACAAAATAACTTTTTTTTTATCCTCACCGGAGGACATTTTTGCATTTATCTTCAGATAGAGTGGGAGGGAGAAAGGGAGAGAGAGAGAGAGAGAGAGAGAGAGAGAGAGAGAGAGAGAGAGAGAGAAACATTGATGTGAGAGAGAGAGAGAGACACATCGATGTGAGAGAGACACATGGACTGGTTGCCACCCACACAACCCCAACCAGGGCTGGGGACAAACTGCAACCGAGGTGCGTGCCCTTCGTGGGAACCGAACCTGGGACTCTCCGGTCCACAGGCAGATGCTCTAACCGCTGAGCAAAACCAGCCAGGACCAAAATAACATTTTTAATTGAGATAGTTTGAAACTGGATATTTACTATTTTGATAGCTGATATGTTTTAATATGATGAAACCTTGGGAAATTTATCACCTTCTATAGAGTTATGAAGCAGAAAATGTTCTCTTAGGTCTTTGAGGACCATCAGGAGTTACATGGACCCCTTGACATTGTAGGCAATGTGTTGGGTCCAGAGTTTTTTCTAAAAAAGAATGTATATATATCTTTCACCAGAGTTTCATAGCATCTTGACTCTTCCTCCTTTCCCCCAAAAGAGTGAAGACCCACTTATCTGGCTCCCATTCCCCTCATGGGGATTTAGGCACAGAGATATAACTTACCCACAGTTAGAGACAGAGATCTTCTTACTCTTAACTCAGAGCCCAGACCCTAATCTGCAAAATGAATTTTACTTATAAGGGCAGAATTGATCTTTGAAATGCTCTCAAGTGCCCAGACCAAAGACAAACCTCTACACTTGTTATTTTGCTGTTTTGCATGTCTCCTGCTCATTTAATTCATCAGGCTGCTTCAGGAGGGGAGTAGAATGATGTCCCCAAAAAGAACCCCCTTGTTGACAGACCTTTTATCTTGATTTCTTTCAGTTTCATCCTCACACTGAAGCACACAGGAGCTCAGCCAAAGTGCTGCTTTTTGTCTTGTTTTGTGTTTACCATGGTACCAGCTAGAATCCAGAATTACTCTGTGGAGGAAACATTGTCCTTCTCTGACCTGGTTACTGTAGAGTTGTCACTTATGTTTCTTCAGTGTTTTTTGAAACCCTCACCTCTTTGCAGTGCTATTACCCATCTCTTTCTGGACTAAGCCAGATATAAATATTACCATCATAATACATTAAGAGATTTGGGTTGAAGGACTAAAAATCTAAGCTAAGTTCTAATATTTATGTTAGTTCAAGATATATTTTGCCTATTTAGAAATTATTAATTGCTAAGAATCATCTTCAGATGCCTAAAAAAGTATAAATCCTTGCCCTGGCCAGGTGGCTCAGTTGGCTAGAGCATCATCCTGTACACCAAAAGGTTGCGGGTTCAGTTCCCAGTCAGGGCACATACCTAAGTTATGGATTCAAGCTGTGGTTGGGGCCCATATAGGAGGCAACCAATCTATGTTTTTCTTTCACATTGATGTTTCTTTCTCTCTCTCCCTTCCTCTTTCTCTAAAATCAATAAAATCATATCTTTGGATGATGATTTTTTAAAAATCTATAGCCCTGGCCCTGGCCCTGGCCAGTTTGCTCAGTGGTTAGAGCGTCGGCCCACGGACCAGAGAGTCCCAGGTTCGGTTCCCACTAAGCACACGTACCTCGATTGTGGTTCGTCCCCGGCCCTGGTTGGGGTCGTGTGTCTCTCTCACATCGATGTTTCTCTCTCTCTCCACCCCCCCCCCTCCCACTCTATCTGAAGATAAATGCAAAAATGTCCTCGGGTGAGGATAAAAAAAAATGTATATATAGCCCTGGCTGGCCTTGCACAATGGTTAGAGCATCTGCCCTTGCACAGAAGGGCTGCAGGTTCAATCCCTGGTCAAGGACACATACCTGGGTTGCAGGTTTGATCCCTGGCCCTGGTTGGGACACGTGCAGGAGACAAACAATGGATGTGTCTTTCTCACATTGATGTTTGTCTCTCTCTCTCTCTCTCTGTCTCTCTCTCTCTCTCTCTCTCTCTCTCTCTCTCTCTTTCTCTTTCTCTTTCTCTCCCTTCTCCCCATCCCTTCCACTCTCTCTAAAAATCAATGGAAAAAATATCCTTGGGCGAGGATTAACAAGCAAACAAAAAATCCTTGATTCGAAAACTAAAACATATCGTGCATTCCTCTTATATGTCTGACAGTGCTGGCCATTCATTAGGTTCTCTGTAAATATGTCACCATCAGTAGTATTGAACAGTCATCATGAGCAAGCCAGGGCTGATGAGAGCCAAGGACACCCATGTTTCAAATGCTCAGGCCTAATGGGAAAAGTGTAGGAAGTCCTGGTTTCACCACTGATTTTTTTCACCTTAAGCTAAAATATTCACCCCATACAGATCTACCATCTAGTCCCACCATCCCCATCGGCTCCAGGACACAATCTTTTTGCTTTGGCCAAAGCCAAGTCAGAGAAGCCATGACTGAAAGTGCAGTCCTGGGAAGCAGGGGCCGAAGAGTCTGTGCTAATGCCAGGACCTGCCCAGACAGGCCTGAGCTCAACTCCTGGTTCTCCTCCCCTTAGCGCCACAAGACTCTTCTCTGAGCGGGCTCCTGGGCTTGCTAAATGATCTAGCACGGTCTTGTCCACCATTCTGGGGTTCTGAGAGAGCACTGCCCCCCCTCAATGGTGAAAACACAGACTCAGAGCCTTGGATTCATTCCCAGGATCTCTGAATGCAAATGTTTTCAGCAAATTCAGCATTATAGTCGAACTTGTAAAATAATCTTATAGCACAAAGATAAAGTTAAATGACTCAAGTGCTCATTGGGTATGTTCACTTTTCCATAAACAGATATGGGAATATTGGCAGGAGGAAGGGACATATTTTATATTTTTGGTGATTTTTTAAATAAGTAAAAATAGCTTTATATTTAAAAGTAATTCCAAAACAACAGATCAGCCTTGTCTGAGGAATGGCAGGAAAATCCTTTAGCAAGAAAATTAAGTTTATTTTTTAAGCCTCCAAGGGTTTGAATTTAATTATAGATAGCAACAAAGAACAGAGAAAATATCCTTGAAAGTTTTTATTTTTTATTTATTTTATTATTTATTTATTTATTTTTGGTATGTGCCCCTAGCGGGAACTGAATCTGGAACTCTCTGGTCTACAGGCCGATGCTCCAGCCGCTGAGTCAAATTGGCCAGGGCTGTCCTTGAAAGTTTTTAAAAGGAAAACTAAAGTAAATTTCTCTAAAAGGATAATACGTTAGTTACATATTTTTTTAACTTTTTTTTTTTTTTTTATTGATTTTTAGAGAGGGAGGGAGAGAGAGAGAAACATCAATATTAGAGGAAAACATCAATTGGTTGCCTCCTGCACACTCCCCACTGGGGACCAAGCCCACAACCCTGGCATGTGTCCCTACTGGGAATCCAACCAGCAACCTTTCAGTGCATAGGATGATGCCAAACCGATTGAGTCACACCAGCCAGGACTAGTTATATTTCTTTTTAATGGGGAGAATAAAGAAAAGGAAAGATAAAACCTTTTTGTTGGTGTTCTTTGAGTCTACCCAGAAATTCTTTTATCTGAAACTATGGAAGTTTATTAAAATAAGTAATTTAAAAAGACAAATGTGATTTTGGTGATTGTATCAAGAGAACATACCTACTCTACACCTTGAGACAGTTGTGTGGCTCAGCAGACAGAGTCAGTAGTGTTAGGCTCTGACCACTTTTGCTATCTACAGATTGCTTCAAATGGGACTTTTCAAAGCAGAGTCAAAATTTATATAGTGATGTTGCCGAACTAAAGGGGTTTGTTCACCTGGGGGCATCAAAGCCCAATCAAATGTGAACAGGAGTTTGCAGCAAAGAAAGCAAAGGTTTATTTAAGGAAACAGCACCAAACCCAGAGTCGCAGGTGAGCTAATGCTGTAAGACCTGGCTCCCTGGTGACTTCTAGGGGATGGGTTAGATAGGGGGAAAATCATTAATCATAGTGACAAAGGGAGTTAGGATCATAGTTAGTGTCATTGTCTCTATTTATTGATCAGTACTAGGGTAGGGGGTAGTTGATTATTGCATCTGGTCCTGATGTCAGCCATGGCATCACTCTGGTTGGTGGGGTCCTTCTAATTTTCTGGGTGTAGAGCTGAAATATAGCTGAGGCCTAGATGTTATCTTTAGCTTGACTTAAATTGTGTCTCTGAGGTCAACATACCCAAGGCTTTGTTCCTAAGATTATTTGACACCGACCAGAACCTCATTGTCCAGAGGGCTTAATGATTTAAGGTGTGGACATGCAAGGGAGAAGGAGCCAGGTGAGTGAGTCAGGGTCCTCCTAGGCTGGACAAGGCCAGTTTGAATCAAAGGAAGGAAGGAGAAAAGGTCAGATTAAAGAAATGAAATTTTTGCACAGTTACAACAGGATTACAATTATTTTAATTTATTTTTTAAATTTTATTTTTGTTACAGATGTTTCTCCTTTTTTACCCCATTAACACTCTCCTCCCCATCCCCCCAGCCCCGTCCCAAGCTTTGTTGTCCATTTTCATTGGATATCTGTACATGCATATAAGTTCTGTGGTTTATCTCTTCCCTCCCTCTACAACCCCCTCTTCTAAGGGTAGTCAGTCTGTACCCTACTTCCATGTTTCTGGGTCTACCCTATTCCTCAGACTGTTATGTTCATTATATTTCACAAATAAGTGAGATCATATGGTATTTGTCCTTTTTTGCTGGCTTGTTTTACTTAGAATGATACTTTCCAGGTTCCTCCATGTCATCTCAAAGGATAAGAGATCTTTCTTTCTTACAGCTGCATAGTACTCCATTGTGTATATGTACCACAGCTTTTTTATCCATTCATCTACTGATGGACACTTGGGCTGTTGCCAGATCTTAGCTATTGTAAATAGTGCTTCTTTGAACATGGGGGTACATATATTTGTATCCTGCTACTTTGCCAAATTCATGTATTAAGTCTAGTAGATTTTTGATGGGGTCTTTAGGGTTTTCTATGTATAATATCATATCATCTGCAAATAATGACAGTTTCACTTCCTCCTTTCCAATTTGGATCCCTTTTATTTTTACTTCCTGTCTAATTGCTATGGCTAAGACTTTCAGTACTATGTTAAATAAGAGTGGCGAAAGTGGGCATCCTTGTCTTGTTCCTGTTCTTAAGGAAAATGCTTTTAGTTTCTGCCCATTGAGTATGATGTTGGCTGTAGGGCTTTCATATAAGGTCTTTATTATGTCAAGATATGATCCCTCTATTTCCACATTGCTGAGCGTTTTTATCAGAAATGGATGCTGGATTTTGTCGAATGCTTTTTCAGCATCTATTGATATGATCATGTGGTTTTTATTCTTCATTTTGTTTATGTGGTGTATCACATTTATTGATTTGTGAATATTGTACCACCTTGGCATCCCTGGGATGAATTCCACTGGGTCATGGTGAATAATTTTTTTGATGTATTGCTGGATTTGACTTGCTAGTATTTTGTTCAAGATTTTGGCATCTATGTTCATCAGGGATATTGGCCTGTAGTTTTCTTTGTAGTGTCTTATTCTGGTTTTGGAATTAGAATTATGCTGGCCTCATAAAACACATTTGGAAGTCTTCCTTCTTCTTGAATTTTTTGAAATAGTTTGAGGACAATGGGTATTAGTTCTTTTTTGAATGTTCGGTAAAACTCCCCCGTGAAGCCGTCGGGGCCTGGGCTTTTGTTTGCTGGGAGAGTTTAGATTACATCTTCAATTTTCTTAGTTGTTATTGGTCTGTTCAAGTTTTCTATCTGTTCCCGGTCCAGTTTTGTGTGTTTCTAGAAAATTGTCCATTTTGCTTAGATTGTCGAATTTGTTGCCATATAATTGTTCATAGTAGTTGTTAACAATCTTTTGTATTTCTGTGGTGTCGGTTGTTACTTCTCCTCTTTCATTTCTGATTTTGTGTATTTGGGTTCTCTCTCTTTGTTTCTTGGTGAGTCTAGCTAAGGGTCCATCAATCTTGTTTATCTTTTCGAAAAAACCAACTCTTTGTTTCATTGATCATTTTAATTATTTTTTGGTCTCCAAGTCATTTATTTCTGCTCTGATCTTTACTATTTCCTTCCTTCTACTTGCTCTGGGGTTTTCTTTTTGTTTGCTTTCTAGTGTGTTAAGTTGTGAGGTTAGACAGTCAATTAGAAATTTTTCTTGTTTCTTGAGGTAGGCCTGTAGTGCTATGAACTTCCCTCTCAGAACTGCTTTTGCTTCATCCCATAGATTTTGTGTTTTTGTGTGTTCATTTTCATTGATTTTCAGGAAGTATTTAATTTCTTCCTTGACCTCCTTGGTAACCCATTCATTATTTAATAACATGCTATTTAATGTGTTCAAATGTCTTTGCATGTTTTGGTTGCAATTGATTTCTAGTTTTATACCATTGTGATCTGAGAAGATGCTTGATATGATTTCAATCTTCTTGAACTTGTAGAGACTTAGTTGTGTCCTATCATGTGGTCTATCTTTGAGAATGTCCCATGTGCACTTGAGAAGAATGTGAATTTTGTAGTTTTGGGGTGTAATTCTCTGTAGATATCTATTAAAACCATTTGGTCTAGTGCTTCATTTAGAGTCTCCGTTTCCTTGCTAATTTTTTGTCTAGAGGATCTATCAGTGATGTCAGTGGGGTGTTGAAGTCCCCTGCTATGATTGTATTGCTGTCGATTTCTCCTTTGAAGTCCTCCAGAAGATTTTTAATATATGTTGGTGCTCTTATATTGGGTGCATATATGTTTGTAAAAATTATATCTTCCTGTTGGATAGATCCTTTCAATATTATGTAGTGGCCTTCTTTGTCTCTAGTTGTGGCCTTTATTTTGAAATCTATTTGATCAGATATGAGTATTGCTACCCCAGCTTTTTTTTCTTTTCTGTTTGCTTGGAAGATTTTTTTCCATCCCTTCACTTTCAACCTATGTGAGTCTTTTGTTGTGAGTCTCTTGTAAACAACATAGAGATGAGTCATGCTTTCTTATTCAATCAGCTGCTCTGTGTCTTTTTATTATGGCATTCAGTCTACTTACATTTAGGTAATTATTGATATGTACTTATTTCTTGCCATTTTTGTTTAGTGTAGTTATATTTTTCTTTCTATTTGTTCTACTAATTATAGCAGTCCTTTAAAAATTTCTTGCAGTGCTAGTTTGGTGTTACTATATTCCGTTAGCCTTTTTTTTTTTTGTCTGAAAAGCTGTTTATTTAACCTTCTATTTTGAATGATAGCCTTGCTGGATAGAGTAAGTCTTGGATTCAGATCGTTGTTTTTCATGCCACTCCCTTCTGGCTTGTACTGTTTCTGTTGAGAGGTCAGCTGAGAGCCTTATGGGATTTCCTTTGTAGGTAACCTGTTGCTTATCTCTTGCTGCCTTTAGGATTCTCTCTTTGTCTATAATTTTTGGCATTTTAATTACCATGTGTCTTGGTGTGGGCCTGTTTGGGTTCTTCTTACTTGGGGCTCTCTGCGCTTCTTGAACTTGAATGCCTTGTTCTTTTACCAACTTAAGAACGTTTTCTCTCATTATTTCTTCAAATATATTCTCTAACCCTTGTCCATTTTCTTCCTCTTCAGGGACTCCTATGATGCGAATGTTGTTATGTTTCCAGTTGTCCCACAGTTCTCTTAAGCTGTCTTTCTGTTTTTCAATTGTTTTTTCCTTTTGGTTTTCTGATTGGTTGATTTTTTCTACCCTGTCTTCTAATTCACTGATCTGGTCCTCAGCTTCCTCTACTCTGCTCTTTAGACCTTCCAATGTGTTCTTTACTTTTGCTATGTCATTCTTGATTTCTTCTTGGTGGATTTTAATTTCTAGTTGGTTGATTTTCAACATCTTTGTGTCCTTACTCATGCTGTTGAGTTTCCTCACGATTATGGCTCTGAATTCTAGCTCTGTTAACTTGCTTAACTGCTCCACATTTATCTCATCTTTGGTAGAGGTCTTGTGTTCTTTCGTTTGGCTTTTGTTCCTGTGTTTCACCATTCTGGCTATCACAGTGGGCTTTGGAGCCTGCCAAATTTTCCCTGTGAGTGTTGGTGTTCTGCTGTTTTTGGCTCCCTCTCCTGGGTTTGGATGAGCGAGGGAGGACCCACGTTAAACACCACTGTCAAGTCTTACTTTCCTGGTTAGAGTTGCTAGCCCAGGAATGGTACAGTTATCCTCTAGCTTTTTGCCTGGAGGCTATCAGTAGTGGTTACTTGAAGAGCCTTGGGTGCTCAGTTGAATGAAAAACTCCCTCAGGTGTTCAGTGTAAGGGGATTTCCCAAGGGTGGGCCAATGTTGGTGGTTAATTAGCCTCATTTGCATTTCAATGGCCCCCCAGGGTGTTGTTGAATCTCTGAGGGAGGGGCTACTGCCTCTCCCCAGAGCCCTGGGAAGGAGTAAGATGGCCACTGTCCTGCATGGCCGCAACTCAGCAAAGCTCTGAGTGCCCTCCAAATCCTGAGTGTCCCCACACAGTTCCAGTCAAGTCTGGCCTCCCTCTGCCGGAGCCCAAGGTGAGTGGCTGTGGCTATTTTAGCATCTGTCCCGGCTCTGCGCTGTGGAGCTGCTTGGGAGTTTAACCCAAGGGCACTGCTCACAATTAAGGCCGCTGCAGTTTCTGGGCTCCCAGCCCCGCTCCTGCACCTCCACAATCCTACCAGGATCGAGTCAGTGTCCCTGGTTATATGATCCTTGCAAGCTGCTTTACTGTTGCTTTTTCCCGTCGATTTATCTTTATTTTTGTTGTAATTCTAGTTTGGTCCTTGGAGAAGATCTGTGTAGCTTCCATTCACTCCACTGCCATTTTGGAATTTCAGATTACAATTTTTTTAAATGTTCAGATTTGTTTTATTCAAAGGTTCTCAAAATAAATAAAACAGAAAACTAACAGTCTGATCAAATGTACAGTTCAATTTCTTTTGATGTTTATCAAGAAGTTCTAGGAAAGCAGACCACAGAGTTATCTTAAACCAAACAAATAAGTTACTACTGGTAAGTTTGTGGCACTAGTAAAACAAAATAAAAAAAATAATTCTCTTGATCATATAGATATCCCTATGGAAATGATTTTTTTTCAATCTGTACAAAAGGTCTTCATAAAAAATTCAGTGGCTATCTACTATGTGATGTTTAACTGATTTTTTTTTAATGTACAGAGGTTGTGTTTTCTAAACCTTGCCCAGATGAGGATGACACTTAGTTTAGATATTTCTAACAGCAGATTTCTCCTCCTCTTACAAATTATTTTTAAACTAGTAATACATTTGATAATTTTCACTAGAAGAGTTATCTAAATTTCAGCTTTCTAAAAGGATTAGATACTGCCCTGGCCAGTTTTGCTCAGTGGTTAGAGCGTCGGCCTGTGGTCCAGGGAGACCCGGGTTTGGTTCCTGCTAAGGGCACATACCTCGGTTGTAGTTTGTCCCCGGCCCTGGTTGGTCGTGCGGGTGGCAGCCACTCGATGTGTCCCTTTCACGTCGATGTTTCTTTCTTTCTCTCTCTCTCTCTCTGTCTCTCTCTCTCTCTCTTTTCCTCTCTCTCCCACTCCATCTGAACAAAAAATGGAAAAATGTCCTTGGGTGAGGATGAAACAAAAAAAAAGGATTAGATACTTTGGTTTTTCATGCAAAAGATGTCATGTATGGCCTTGCAGACACCATCGTACTGGAACCTCTCGAGCCTAGCCATGGTGAACCCCATCGTGTACTTCGACATCACCATCGATGGTGAACCCCTGGGCCGCATCACTTTTGAGCTGTTTGTGGACAATGTTTCAAAGATGGCAGAAAACTTTCATGTTCTGAGCACTGGGGAGCGTCGGCCTGTGGTCCACGGAGACCCGGGTTTGGTTCCTGCTAAGGGCACATACCTCGGTTGTAGTTTGTCCCCGGCCCTGGTTGGGATTTAGTTTTAAAGGTTCCTCCTTTCACAGAATTATTTCAGAATTTATGTGCCAGGGTGGTGACTTCACATGTTATAATGGCCCAGGTGGCAAGTCCATCTATGGGGAGAAATTTGATGATGTGAGTTTCATCCTGAAGCACACAGGTCCTGGCAACTTGTCCATGGCAAATGTTGGCCCCAACACAGACAGTTCCCAGTTTTTCATCTGCACTGCCAAGACTGAGTGGTTGGATGGCAAGCACGTGGTCTTCGGCTGGGTAAAAGACGGCATGGATGTTGAGACAACCATGGAGAGCTTTGGGTCCAGGAATGGCAAGACCAGCAAAAAGGTCACCATTGCTGACTGTGGACAACTCTCATCAATTTGACTTGTGTTTTATCTTAACTACCAGACCATTCCTTCTGCAGCTCAGGAAAGCCATCTCTTCACCCCCATCTGCTTGGAATGTTCTATAATATTCATGCTCTTGAATTCACATTCATTGAGTTCCATATTTTCTTTACTCTTTCCAAGTCTAGCTGGATTGCAGAGTTAAGTTTATGAATATGAAACAAAAACTAAATAATTGTCAAAAAAAAGATGTCATATATGCATTCAACATGAATTACAAAGCAATATTAAAAGGGAAATACACATAGCAGAAAATATGAAAGTAGGTAAGAGCCAATAAGCATAAATTGTATATCTTTCACTATCTGGTACAGTATTATCAGTACTCAAGAAACATTTACTGTTAAAAAATAAAGCATGTCAATGGGCCCAGAGTAATTCTACTATACTATATCAAATGATGACTAAAAATGCCTTATCTTACTCTTTTATTTTGTAGGTATTATTACTTGGCATTCAGAGCCCATCAAATACCTGTTGCTAGCAAAGAGAGCTGTGTTGCTATCTTGGAAAAGTCCAGATTAGATCACTGGGTGCTGGGAAAAACAAAGGTAGTTCTTTCTTTATTGTTCAAACTGTTATCAATGATGCTCTATTACATACCCTTGTCTCTTGTCAGTGCTATGAATGGCTCTGTAAGTTGTGTAGCTCAGCAGATGAGACCCCAACCTGACAATGATCTTGGCTTGTCTTGGGTCAGGAGTCCTAGGACCTCAAGGACCAGAGGAGGCAGGTGTGCACCTGTTCTGCATATAGTTTGAGAGCCATTTAGCATTTCTAGAATGAGATCTTTAATTTATTTTAAAATGTCCTTTTTTCCAATGCTCTTGTTTCAGCACCACATGCAAATACATAAATCATATTAATGACTATAATGAGTTATTTTATAGTTTTGTCGATTTTTCATTAGACTCTTGTTGTGTTATTTTTGCATGTCCTGATTAGTAGTCTCATCATGTGTAGCTTTTCATTTGGGAGAACATCACATCCCTGTAGGATTCCAGGTTTTATGGTCCACTCTGAGTTGCCCTACAAAGCCAGCCTTAGCCTGCACATTGATGACAACACTCAGTCCTCAGCAGAGATTAGATCACTGTGGTCAGCCAGGTCCCTCTCCCTGTGAAATTCTGTTGGCTTATTGGTAAGATCTGTTGTTAAGCTCCTCCATTAGAGGCTGTGGGGAAAGAGACTAGAGATCAAGCTGAGAAAATGGAATTCATGGCAGAAACGAGGCAGGGTTGGAGAATACTTGCGGTCTCCGAAAGCCCTATTAACTTCATTGTATGTTTGTATCCATAATCACAGATTGGCTTAATCTTAGAAGTGGAATTGTATTGGCTTCCAAGAAGTCCATAATATTAGCATCAATCAAGTCACTATAAACTTTATTTAAATAATGGTTTTTATATTTATATTAAGAGTGTGCTGGAATAGAGTGAATATCTGGGGGACTATATCTAATGCTAAAACTCGTGTCTCATTTCAGGTCTTTCTCAAATATTACCATGTCGAGCAGTTAAACTTGCTGCTGCGCGAAGTCCTAGGCAGAGTGATTGTGCTGCAGGCATGTGCCAAGGGGTGGCTTGGAGCCAGGAGATACAAAAGAGTCAGAGAGAAGAGAGAGAAGGGGGCCACCGCCATCCAGTCCGGTAAGCGGTCCTGAACCTCGGCATTTCATAAGTACTGGATCTCAGAGGTTTGTTCTATTCTTCTTTCCCTTCTTTCTTCCCTCCTTCCTTCTTTCCTTGCTTTAGCAAACATTTATTGAGTGCATACTACGGGCCAGGTCCCAGGCTAGGTGCTGGGGATCGAGCAGTAACAAGACCTCCATGGTCCCTGACCTCCAGATCACCAAACAAGTCATCACGGCACACTGTGACAGAGGCAGCATGAAGTGAATGGGTGTAAAAGCCAAACCACACAGACATGTGTCCCAGCTCCCAGATGATGGACATAATTTACACTTCAGGTCCATTACCAGGTTTTCAGCATTAGAATTCCTCACGCCACCTCCAGAGGGCTTTTCTAGCCCCGATGGAGCTTGGACACCCAGGGAGCACATCACCAGGCTCCGTCATATGCCCAGCCCAGTCAGTGCCTCTTAGCATCCATGTGTGTCATTTATGCTACAAACAGCACTTGGCTCCTGTGCTCTTGACGAGTGGTTGTGAAAGCCCAGCCCACCTTGAATGTGGATGATCTCCTTAGTGCGCTCTCAGCGTTCACTCTGGACGCTACGACCTCACGCAACAGCAAGCAGAGCTGGGGCGCTCTGGGAGGAGCAAAAGGAGCAGCCGTGCTCCTGGTGGGCGGCTTAATGCCCCAGTTCTCTGACTAAAGGACTCAACAGAGCGGTGGCCATTCCCTCCTGTCTCTTCTTCTCTTCACGCACTTCCCTTCGCTTCACACCAAATGCAAGTGCGGTGCTGTTAACTATTCCCCTTGACGCTCCTCTGTTTCTCTTTCCTTCAACTTTCAGGTTTATACCTTCTTTCCAGTGAAAACTGTGGAACAGACCAGGCTGTTCTAGTTCTTCCCCACCCCTAAGCCTGAAGACAGAGCTTCCTCCATGGAATGGGAGGACAGGGAACTCCTCAGCTGGGGTAGAGGTCCCTAGTCATTCACACGTGGGTGCGGAGAGTTCTGGAAACTCACCGCCTACATGACAATAACCCCTCCTCAGAAGCATCTGAGAGCCAAGCTGAGAGTACAGAGAGGCCCTCTTCCCCATCACTGCTCACGTATCTCTGCTTATTTTGTTCAGTGAGAAAGCAGAAGGGAGGAGGAGAGGGGTAATAGATTGGAGGGAAAACAGCTTATATCAATTCGCTGGCACGTCCTTAAATTAATGTCATTCCTAGCACATGGTTTTATATTTTTAGCCTGGAGAGGATATGATGCTCGGAGGAAATTTAAGAAAATAAGCAACAGAAGGAGTGAGTCTGCTGTTCATATTCAAGCAGGTAATTAAAACATCATTTTCATAGCATCCACTTAGAAATATTCAGTGATTAAGTTCATATGAGTTTAGAAAAGCTGAAAGGTTAATGATTCAGGAGCACTGGAATAGGAATCAAGAAATCTAGTGTGTGTGGGGGGGGGTGTGTGTGCTGTTTCTGACACACCCCATGTGTGACGATGAGGAGGATAACCCTTAGTGAGCATTTGCTGTGTGCCACACTTGGCTAAGGACGCTCTCAGTAGATACTCTTATATTCCCAGTTTTATAGCGGAGGCAGCCAAGCCACCGAGAAGTGAAGGAACTTGTCCCCGATCACACAGCCAGTCAGTGGCAGAGCCAGCACTGGGACACAGGCAGCTTGAATCGAGGTAACTTCGCAAACCTGCCAACTGAGCAATGCCCCACCCTCTTGGAGTCACATGGCTCTCATCTGTGAAATGAGAGCACCCACGAAAAAGGTCTGGGGGTGCCTTCCAACCTTGGCATTCTCTGACTATGTGCTAGACCCCTGTGTTAGCATCACAAAGATAGGAATAGCTCAGGAACCCAGCAAACCGACTTCCCCTCTCCCAGGCAGCATGTGGCTATAGGGGTCCTCTGCACCCCATCATGTGAGGACGAGGTGGTTTCTGTGGCTCAGCTCGGCCTTGGCTGCCTGAGCACCGTGAGCTCTAGTTCCTGGCTCGCCAGTCCCCCCCTTGGCTCCCAGGTCACTCTGTTCTTTTGCAAGTGGGAATATCCACAGTAGCTACCAGGCCGGGCTCCCTCTGTCATTTGAAGCTACACATGCCTACTCGAGGAGCTGGAAAAAACAGGCCTCACCATGCCAGGAGCTCCCAGAGCTGAAGACAGGGGAGACAGAATGAGAACTTGGCCTGTCCAGTGGACTCAGCAGCAGGGAGAGGGGTCAGGTTTCAGACGGTGCCACTATTGAAGCAGGCCTTTAAATCAAATAGTGTACAACTTTTCAGAGCCTGGCTCCAGGGAGACCCCTCCGAACTCTCTTAGGCTACCTGACTGTCTTCATTCAAAGCCAAAATATTTGGGAGGAATGGGTGTCATTTAAATGCAAATGTTAACTTTTAACACCATCCCCTAGGAATTCTAAGCTCTGCAACTTCAAAGAGGCAGAAGGAAGGATGCAATTCTAGTTGTAGTTTAAGAAAGACAACTCAAAGTGCATTTGTTCCCTACTTGCCCACCTCCCACCACACACACACACACACACACACACACACACACACACACACACACACTTGGTCCCCCTTAAGAGAAGATACTGGGCTGATTTCTGATCTTGCAGTTTGGCCTAAAGCCCAACATATGTTTTAAAATATAAACTTTGAGCTTATATATTGTTGGTCCACTGAATTCAGTATGTAGGATCATAAATCAGATGATATTCCCTGCAAATCATGTTTGGAGGGCTCCCTGGGTTGGTGGCAGAACGGTACCAGGGGTTAGACCAGTGGAGTCCGACTGGACCTTGGTTGAGCAACCGCAGTACTTGAGTTCTGGCTAAGAAAGAATACAGAGCCAAGACTCAAATTGCAAGTGAAAGTTTATTTAGAAAGTCACAGAGGTAGAAGTGAGCTGTAGAACAAATGCACTCAGGAAACAAGTTCCAGAGGCAAAAGAACCTTGGAGAGTAGGAGAAAGAGAGAGGCAAGGGAAACCTCCTGGGGGAAGGGGTGAGGAAATGTGTGGGCACGCTCAGGGGAGGGTCCCAATAGAATATTCATCAGCTTTCCAGGTGTGTCACATCTCTCTCCATCCCACCACGGAAGAAGCCCAACGGTGTCCTCACCAGGGCCACGGCGAAGGCCAATGCCCAGGACTGCTTCATAGTCCTTGGGAGCCAGTACTGTCTGTCATGGGTCCCAGGTGGCCACTAAATCCACGTGGTCAAGTGTTCCTCGGTGGGGAAAAACACAAGTGAATGGGGAAAGTGTGGGTCCCACGCTAGAGAGAGAGCTTTGTTCTCCTGGGATTTTAACCAGGAGCTTTTTCAAACT